AGGTGTGGCCCATGGTTCTGCTGGATCGCAACGCCTTCGAGTGGGTGTCGAGCGCAAAAAGATGGGAATCAGCCACCTAATGTCGGTGAAAATGCCTGTGGTACTGGGGGGTGTGGAGAGTTGGCTCACATACGAGGTACATGAAGGAGGCAGTGCAAACGTTCTTCTCCATGAACGCGAGGGCATCACTGTGGGCAGGGGAACAACGCAGGACCTCATGGCCAAACGGACCATGAAGATTGAGTTCGTGTGACATCTGCACTTCAAACATCCACGAACCAACCCATTTGGGTCTTCTAGAATGCCACCAAGGCAGACTGACGACGAAAGCCAACCCCGACGGCATCTCAATGACCTAGAGACTGCGCTATTCAAAAGGTGGGAAGCAGCAGGCGGGAAGCTGCACTGACGGGCCGGTCGAGGATGAGAAGAGTGCCGCACGTGATCCTGAACGGAAAGCACACATTGCACCCGGTCAAGTGAGCGATCTTTTGCCGCCTCACTCTTGAGGCCCTCCACAGCTCTTGGGGATCTTGACGATGATAGAAGCCAAGCTGACAGGATGAAGGTTCATCTCGTGTATGGCGCCGTTTGGGGTGGCGGCGATCTAGTCCAAAAGCATCAAGACGGTGAGGGTCTTCCGTCCCTATCCACCAGCGGATGTGCGTGTCCAACGTTCAATTCCCTACACAGCACGCTACACTAGTGTGCTATTCAAGTGCCATCTCTGAGTACCACCCTTGAATGAACCTTTCCTTACGTGTTCTTGCCTGAACGATGCAGACGTTATACGGATCCCTAGGTAAGGAAGTGCGTGACAAGACACCTGCTAGAGGAACAGTGAGTTCGCAGGCAGCTGACTAGCACCCGCCTAAAAGTGAGGAAGGACCACTGCCCGTGTGGTGCATTTTGGAGATGGATTACCTACTCTGCTGCCCCTGCTGGGAGGAACCTAGGTAAGGTAGGATGTGGTGGTGGCCCCGCTGCGCGGCTGCTGTTTCTACCTACCTTATCTTTCCCGTGTCACTTTTCCCACACTACGACTGGGCGTCGACGTACTTCCTTTCCTCCCCCTACCTACCTTCTCCCACAACGCGTCCGTCCTTACCACAGTCCCTACCTCACCTCTTCCTTCGACCTACCACTCGCTGGCGGGGAGGGCGCTATCCAATCTTCATCGGCACACCCACGTTTGACTTTTCCCACTATATCCTCTCCTAGCACGCTTTTTTGCGCACGAAGACGGCCATCGATTCACATTGCCCTTCAACATTCTACGGCGGCAGCTACCCGACCTACCAGTCGTGCGCCTTCGCGGGATCGCGCTCTTGGGCACTGCCCCCTTCTCGCTCTTCTGACCCCATTTCTTCCTTTCCCACTCTCTGCTCAGTCTACTCAGGCGTCGTTTTCCCTACTACAACTCCTTCCTCGAACACCGACTCCTTCGTCCTCGCCTTCATCCTCTCTCTACTTTCCTTCCACCCCCTCCCCAGACCTCTACTCCGGTAATCTTCAACAGAGGCGCCGACCCTCGCTGCCAACGATCATAACGAGGCTGAAAACTGCGAGCAACAACGTCGACTTCTTCCCAAAACCAGAGCACTCTCACTCAGGAACCATTGTGCGAGAAGTCCTGCCTTACCTAGCCCGCTTACCTAGCTACTCCGTCCCAAGCCCCAACCCAAGCTCCCTACTACTCTGGCTATCTTCAACAGTAGCTCGCACAACGAAATCAACGAAGTTCAAATCTGCGAGGGATAACGTAGGTTTCGTCCCAGAACCAGAGCAGTCTTATCCGAGAGCCATTACCCAAGTAGCATAGCTACTTGGCCCCGATTCCAACCTGAGCCTTGATACCCGATACCCGACAACGGCGACCGCCAATAGACGACATAAACAGCGACAGCGACTTGACTTCATTGCCTTTGCCAATCACTTGCCTTGTTATCGTAACGTCAAAGAGACTCGGACACTGCTAGCGGCATCTTGAGCCGGTCACAGTCACGATGGCCGGCAATCAACCCAACACCGACGCACACTCAACAGCCTGCAACCAGGGCTCCGTATCATCACCGTAAGTCACAAACACCATCGGGCGCATGGTCTTTCCACCTTTCCCTGCTCTTATCATCGCCTCTCTTTCTCCACGCCCATGGTATTGTCTCGACTCGGTATCGTTCGTCGTCGCTAATCGTCTCCCACAGAGGGGGTGATGGCAAAGTCGTGTCTACGGCGGAAAGATTGTCGAACGCGCAGACAAACCTGCAACGCTATTTGAAGGACGACGGTGACAGACCTATCGGTGATGAAAAGTCCCGCGTCGGCATACGAGCACAAATAGCTGAGGTCGAAGCCTTGTTCCCAAGCGCCAGCGCCGGTAAGGCTCAGGTGCAGCCTCGCCGAGCAAGCGACCATGAAGCGGAAGCTGTTCGAGCCATTGAAGATCAAGTCTCCAACGTGACTCAAGAGAGGCCTAGAAGTCTGTAACTGGCCCCACCACCACCATCACCTTCGAGCTCTCGGTTTAGCTGCACCTGGTCCCTCGTGTTTGCAATTTATTTCAAAGCGAAGTCGGTCACAACATATACTCGGACTGATTCCCTGATTGATGGTCGTCTTTACGCAGAGGATTTCGTCGAAATTTTGCACGGAGTTTCGGAAAAACATAAGTGTTGCGGACATTCTCGTGACTTACTTTGTCGTTTGCGGATGGGGCCCATTGCCTGGCCTCACGGTTTCGGTTGATGTTTGAGCAGAATGAGGCCGGAGGTAGGCTCACAAGACACCCAAGATCTTTCTCTGTTTTGCGAACGTTGATTTCGTTTGCGGGAAAGAGATGGAATATCGCCTTATGCTTTGGCCTATTCCCTTCGGCAAAGCACAGGTGTTGCGGGCATGATCTTGATTTCCTTTGTTGTTGACGTATGTATCATGCGATTGGCTTCATGGCAGCTGAAGACAGAAGCCAGAGATAGTCTCTCGAGACACTACCTTTCCGGGTGCTGCGAGTCTGAAAGGACCGACATGCGGCCTAGTCGACCCAGACCTTAGAAGGCGTTTGGCTGGCCTTCTGTATGCCAAATAACCGACATCCTGGAGGTACATGACAAACATGGATCGTGGGCCAAAAGTGGAAACGTTGGCAAGAGAAGAACAAGACCAAGGTTGGAGATACGGTTGACGTTGATGTTCTTGAGACAATTGGCCAGCTACAAGGGTGCATTTTTTATTTGTGTGCGATGCGACTGGTTTAGTCATTCAAAATTCAATTGTCATAGCTCGCCGTTTGGTTTTCAACCCTGTGTCTTTCCCATAGCAGTTCTGCATACCTCTTGGGCCTTTTTCTATCGCAACCATTTGGCCTTGCTGTCTGATTCTCAGAATGATACGCTTCGCTGGGAAGCGCGGCCAGAATGGATCTCGATATACAGCTAGACTTGTATTCCTAGTCTCATCAAGTATAATTATCGCCGCCGTTAACTTCTGCTCATGTGTCTACTTTCGTGTGGTCAAGTTGTGTGGTGGGGTTACCTTTGAGGTTTTCATTGAGATTTTCATTGAGGTCCATCGAGAATTACCTTGAGGTTTGTTTACCTTGATAACCCTCCAATATTGCGAAGAGAGTTCATATTCCGTTCCAGAAATGCAAAGTTTTCGTATAGAGGCCCCCTTTTTTACTCAGCCATGCTGCTTATAAGATGCTCGGCTCCCTCGCCTTCTCAAACTCCTCCTGCTCGAACATGCGACTTCCATCACCATCATCGAACCCCACTATCAACATGGCGAATTCCCAGACCCGTCAGATGTCACCGAGAGACGACGCACACAGCCGGCCTAGGGATCCCAGCAGGAAAAGGCTGAACGAACTATACGGCCGAGTTGTCGACAGGAAGACCACAGCCATGACGGACGTACAACAGCAGCTCAAGGACCTCACAGCTTCCCATGTCGAGGGCACATCGGGCCTATCGGACCGCAATTTTCAGGAACAGTTCAAACGACTCGAGGAAGATGTCTACGGCTGCGAGAAAGAGCTTTCCTTAGTCTTACTCAGCAAGAACCAACTTATTGGGATCTTCCAGGACGTCGGTGAGTGCGCGGGGGGTCTCCGAGATAAGGACAAGGCATACATCAACCGGCTTGTTGGACGACTTACACGCACACATGGATTCACGGCGGGGCCCGGAACGAGGCAGGACAACGCGGAGCAGCAAACATTCAGGCAGCGGGTGATTGAGAGATACGATCCGTGCAAAGGGAAAGAGAAACCTGGCCCTAGGTGCTCAATCTCGGGAATTCGATGGCAAGTCGTCGCCACCCACATTGCCAATGTCAACCTGGGTGAGACCACTGCGCGTGAGCTCTTTGGCAAGGACTCGGAGGATCTTGGTGGTGGTGGCCATCTCAATAGCCCACTTAACGGACTGCTGATGCACCGCGACTTGGAGAAGGCCTGGCGCGCCGGGCGATTCCTCATCGTGTCGGACGATTTCGTCGATGACAGCGGGCGCAGGGAGCGTGGACTCAAGGTCGTCGTTCTGGACTTCGAGCTGGAGAAGAAATTCCATGGATACAATTATGACATATCGACCCCCCAGCTGCATGGTCGCAGACTCACTTTTCTCAACAACAACCGGCCCAGTAACAAGTACCTCAACTTCGCGTATACGATGACGGTCCTTCGGCGCCAGGGACTGCAGGCGACTCCGAGTACGACGACCCTCGATCGACGGTTCATGCAGAGCGCGGCTCGGAAGGTCTGGGCGTCAACAGATTCGGACTGGGGACAGTCGTTACTATTCCAGGCATCTCGCCAACTGGGATTTCTCACCGAGGAGGAGGTCAGACAGTTCTACCACATCAAACAGGCGCCTCCCAAGTCATCTGCACTGGAGGACCGAAAGCTGAAGACTGCGGCCATTGAGGTATCATCAATCCTGAGACAACCTGCGCTAAAACATGACACAGAGTTGATGTAGCTTCAATACAATACCCGCTTCTTAGCTACGCTGGAAGATCCCATCGAACCAGTTCTGAATCTCTTGTTGGCCGTCATGGCCAACCGAGGTAACGAGTCCGACATATCCATCCGGTCGAAGACCAACCACCGCACCCTTCGTCTCGTCGATGCCGTACTTCTCATACGCTCTCTGCGGCTCCTCATAGAACGTCTTGCCGTCGACGTAAACCTTGTCATAATCCCAGCCAAGCTTGCTGTCGAATGGGTGGTACATCTCATGCACGTCCTTCAACAGCTCAACTTGATCTCGCGGCGCGGTATGCACCAGCAAGACATCCACGATTGAAGGATCCTCGTCCGTCTTGAACTTCATAGATCCGCTATGGGGGTCTGAGCCAGGCGTGAGCTTGATGGTGGGCAACTTTGGGAGGTAGGTGGTGAGCCAGGCACCAAGAGCGTTGACCGTGTCGCGCTGAGCTTGTTGAGAGATGTCACCGCCAAAGACGACGAGCCGGAATCGGCCGTTCGAGGGAAGCTTGTGGTGGAGCTCCCAAAGGCGTGCGTCCGATTGGCGGATGACCTTGTATGAGGGGAAGCGCTGACCCAGCTTGCAGTTCGTGGCGAGGGATTGCGTGCTCTTGGCGGTGCTCTTCTTGAGATCGTTGTCACCTTCAGGATATTCTTCGGGACTCTTCGCAACGAGGACGGTCGGTTGATAGTTGATGCCGACGCCAGTGGTGAACTAGAACGGTGAGCTTGAACCACAAATATCAGAGAGGTAACATACCATCCTGCTAGTGTGGAAAGCCTTCTGGAATTCCTCAGAAGAAACACCCGTCTCATCCATAATGTCCTTCGCCGGTCGACCAGTGAACAGCTTCGAGAACTTGCCATCAAAGGCGATAAGGTCCTTTGCAATCTTCTTGCGCTCAAGCTCATACGACGACAGGATCTCACGGGGGATGATGTTCTTGCAGACAAGACCAATCTTCCAGCCAAGGTTGTAGCTGTCTTGCATGGAAATGTTCATACCCTGGCCAGCCTTTGGAGAGTGAGTGTGAACGGCGTCTGACGTCGTTAGCGGTCGTCTCATGACAGTGGAAATGGGTCGACTGACCTCCGGCGAGGAAAACGCGGTTAAGCTTGCTGAAGTAATCACCCGTTCGTTGGCCGATCTGGTAGGCCGTCCACCTGATGCAGGTTAGCGCTTCATCCACATTGAGGACTGCCAGGAATTACCAATCGCAGTAGTGGTACTCCAGCTTGTATGGGCTGAAGATCTTCTGAGCGGATCTGAAGATGAAATCAGGAGTGATCTGAGACCTGTCGACCCGACCACCGCCTGCAGAGACCTCCTTCAGCTGGATGTACAGTCGTACCATTCGGTTCTCGCGGGGAATAATCATGAGGGCGCCAGAGGTGCTGTGGATCATCGTTCGGAATCTGATATCAGCTGTTAAGTGTTAGCTAAATACAACTCATTCTACTTGCGTCAAACGTACGAAAATCTGTGATAGGTACGATGTCCATAACGCCCCTGCAATGCGTTAGCTTTCAATATTACCCACAGTCTGACAACTAACTCACCAAATAGCATCTGTCGTCTCGCCCTTCATCTCAAAGTCTTTGCCCAGAGTCTTCCTAGTCCACGAGTGGGCGCCATCGCAGCCGACAACATACTTTGCCCTCACAATCTCATCCCTTGCCTCGCGACTCTTTGATTTGGCCAAAATGTCGCCCACATCGTCGTCCGCAAGATTGCTCCTGAAGATGCCATCGCTGAGGTTACTCAGCATCTGTGTTGGCGTCGCCTCCTCCTCGGTCAAGTGCCGCAGCGTGACGGTCACAGGATGCGCATCCGGGTCTTCGGCCTTGCTCTCGTCAATCTCCAGCGATGTGGGAATGACCATGCGCTCTACGCGCAGCGCTTCCTCATCTGAGGCGTACGATTCTCGAATTCCATCGAGGAAGAACTGCTCTATACGGCCCTGGTGAAGAACAGACTCGGTGAAGCGAGAGAGACCTGGAATAGTGTTGACTGCTTGGGCGCTGCGGCAGATTCTTCCATTTTCATCATTATTCCAGAAGCAGACCTCTGCAGGATGTCAGTCTACGAATCGGGACATTTGTATAAGTGACTCACCTAGCATGCGGTTCGCTTCTTTCCAGACGCGCTCTGCGACACCGAAGCTGTCCAAGATCTCGAGAGACCTCACTTGAAAGCTATCACACTAGTTAGATCCAAGCTACATGATGCGCATCAAAGACATCGTACCCATCTGCCTGGCCAGAGTAGATCTTGGCCGTCCGCTTGTCCACGATGCGCGCCTTGACGCCCAGTCTCGCCAACCACAGCGCCAACATCAGCCCGGCAGGGCCAGCCCCGATGATGAGAACATCAACCTCAGACTCTGGCAGCTCCGTCATGTTGGATTAGGGGCAGCTGGAACACCAAGCAGGCAGGAACAATGCAGTGTAGTTGAGCACCTGCACAAAGACCAAGCTTACTTTGAACAAAGAGACAAAGCTCGTCACTCGGGCCGTTTGGAGTCATGTTGGAAAACGGGGAGTCTTAGCTCCCACGAAAGTATGCGTCGTCGGCGTGGCGGGCCGCAGCAAACTGCCGTTTGTTGGGGTAGAGTTTGGGGAAATAAGCGATGAGAAAGCATGACAAAGGGAAGAGGGGCCGAAGTGGAGGGGCAGAATTGGGGAAATTTCCTACTTTGACGACCACGGACGTCATAAGGTGTGGGGTTTGCTGAAGGTAAATTGATGCAGGGACTAGCGTCGATGTGTAATAACGAGACCCTAAGTGGCAGCACGCATGGCAGAAGGCATGGCAGGGCATGCAGGTCGCCAGTCTGGATGGCATTGGCGGATGACTTGGCCGCTTACATAGCGGCGTCTAAGGATTACACCACCATCCTGCGAGTATCCAGGACGCCGCCCTTCGTCCTCAGTCATCCTTCGGATCGGCCCGCTGAGCGGGGATATGTGGTTTTCCCTCGCTAAAGGACCGGCGGATTTATGTATAATTCCGGAAAGTTGCGACGGTCTGCCGAATAGGATGGATGGTAAGACGGCGGTGACCACTAGGAGCTAAGAGTTCGGGAAATACATAACAGTGAGGGCACCATGGACGAGGACAACGACTGAATGCCAACGCGGGAATAATCATGTTGGTCTTCGGAAAACAACCCCAAGAATTTTAATGATTGCGTCTATCGTTAATCTGCACCGCGGCCGAGATCGCGCCGCACTCTCCAGACTCGTGATCCAACAGGGCGTTTCTCATGACCCTGGAGCACTTCGATCCACGGAATGCCGTTGACATCACCAGCCAAGTGAGGGTTCTCGGGCTCCTTATCTGAATCATCACTCTCCGTGTCCTCGTCCATAACCTCCACAGTATCGTCCTTGTCGGCATCATTGCTGCCAAATGACTGGTAGTACAAGTCTTCTGTATAAGCCCAACCAGGCGAGTCGAGCTTTCCGTGTAACAGCACCAGTTGATGACCAGCTTCTTTGGCGGCCATGATACGCTCCAACGGGATTGGCGTCAGCATCTGTAGGACACCCACTTTTGTGTCGATGCCTCGGAGGAGAACAAGACCGAGAGTTTGCGAGTACCGAGGGTCCAAGGTCTGGGCATCGGAATTTGGGATGTATGGAACACCTTCCGGGGTTCTTGATACCAACTCTTCTAACTTTGCAGATGACTCTGCGTCATCTACGTCCATTTCCTCGCCCTTGATGCTCCCTTTCAGACGACCGAATGCCTTGGGGTCTACGGTCTCGACCAGACACATTATGGATCCATTAATGGTTTCCGTCAGCAGCTCGGGCGGCGGCTGATATTCGTAACTAATAACACCAAGTATCCCGCGATTTCTCCCCTTGTAGTTGACCAACAAGGGCGGTGATGTTGTTAGTGGTGTTGGATCCCACATTATCTGGTTCGGCGCCGACCTTCTTGTATGGAAATAGGCCAAAGCCTGCATTGCCCGCAAATGGGCTGCTGTCCTGGATGTGAATTCTGACTGTTGAGAGGGAAGAGTGCTCAAGGTCGCTTTGCAAACCGCCCGAAGGCCCTCGACGCTCTCCTTAGGACCGTCCTCCGACATATAGATGACTTCGGTCGGTTTGAAGCTGGAAGCAAGTTCCGTCAAGAGGTCGAGACCCGTTCCCAGAACCCAGCCAGGTGTGTTGATGATCAAGGGCGAGCCTTTACAAGTGCTTTTATAGTGAGAGTATAGATCCAGAGCGCATTCCAGATACAATTCTGGGTCTGATGCTGGAGAGACAGATGCGATAGAGTGACATCTAATAATGGACACGGCTTGCTCATCTGTTGCAACATGTGTAAATGACGGGCCTAAGTTGGGCTCATTGATCTGGACCAAGGCTATTGTCCCTGCAGGAGTGTACTCTGGCTGCCCTGGGTCCAGGTCGAGGATGGCCACCGAACGAGCGACGCGTCGCTGTCCGGGTGTGGTCAGAAGGCGGTTGCTAAGTATCCGGCCAAACGTCGATTTTCCAGACGATTTCGGACCACAAAGCATAACGCTTAGAGCCGGATCTTGTTTAATCTTTGCGAGACCCGCCAGTTTCTTATTCCATGCAGGAAGGGAGCGCAGATCTTGGATCAGGGCCCGTTTAGGGGCGTCATCGGCAGTGCAGATCTAGTCATGTTAGCATCGCTGCGTAAGAGTCCAGCGCACATGAAACTGACAATCTTGTACGTGTCCACGGCAGCCCGTTTCTTGCTCGACTTGGTCTCTTCTGGTTCGTTCCAAAGACTTCTGAAAAGTGGTGAAAGTCGTTCGAGTTTGCGGAGGCTGGCAGCCTGCGGGTGCGGATGGAGCTCCAGGGTCGTCTCATCGGAGCAGCGAACCACTGGTATGCCGTGGCAATGAGGCGCGTGAACCCATTGAGTGCCGTCTGTTGCCCGTATAGTAGCTCCGGCAACTGTGACTTCGCCGCTAATGACCTTGAGTCCGTAGCTTCCTAGAACCAAGAAGCGCTGGCAAAGTTAGTCGTGGCGCGATGCGTCTGGAAAGGGGGAACTTGCCTCGCTATCTTTCAAAGTCAATTCTAGGACCCCCCCAGCGTGTTTCCGCGAGTTGCTTTTGTTTGGCCTAAAGGTCGAGAATTGCTGAGATATTGGCTTTGCAGGTGCCTCAGCGTCCACGCCGCTAGGAATGTCAGCGAGCATGTTTGGATTTGCGGAATCATCTACATACCTCGAACCATCGCCAGCTTGACCTTTTGGGCTGCCAGACACTGCAACCTGCTGTTGTGAAGGCTCCTCTGCTCTGTCGGCGTTCCCCGTCCTCTTGGGTGGCCTCGTTCTGGCCGGGGATCGCCCAGGGGTGGGAGTGGACGCCTGGGACTCGGGAGCCGGTTCGGACTGCGGAGCTGGAGACAAAGATGGGCTGGCCGCAAGCAGTTGCTGCCTCAGAGCAAAAGCGCTCATTGCTTTATGAGCGTCAGCGGGAGATGGCGTTGAAAGGGTTTTGTGGTGCTGCTTGGCAATACTCACGTCTAGATCCCTCAGAGGTCTCAATCTTGCGTCTCTTTGGGGTGGCCATGATGACTCCAAATGGTTAAACTAAGAAATCACAAAAACACCAATGTCAGTCGACCACTGTGATGGCTCTCTTGTCTACCAGTAGAACGTTGAGGAGGCCTTGTTTAGGTCTTGAGTAGCTCAGTCCCGACCCAGCTGTCTTTCACCGGTAGAGGCAATCACCTGAATTAAAAGGCAAGAGCCCGTAGGGTGAAGGACAGGCAGCCGCACTCGCAGCCCAGCTTTATTTTAGCAATCTATTTTCGCCGACAAAAGGTCAGCTTTCTTTTCTCTTCAACACACTTCGATCTCAACCTTCCCGTCGCAACTCACTCAGATTTTTTGCTCGCCCACCACCAAGCCCAACACACACAGCCAGCACAAGCCACACTCTCAATCGCAACGATGGGTAGAAAATCGGACGGACACCGCAGTGGAAGTTCGCAGCGCAGAGATCGCACGCCCATCAAGCAGGACATCAAGCAGGAGATTGACGATGATGATGGAAAATCCTTTTTGCGCGCCTTCACTCCAGCGCCGCGCAGCTTCTCGCGCTCCCCAAAGGCGTTCGGCAGTGGATCCGGCGCGCCCACCACTCAGGCGCAGGCGCATCGCCCTGCCACTGCTAGGGCCCCGCTGGCCCGTGCCACCCCTACCAGAATTTCTGAAGCCTCTCAAAAAATTCCTGTCGCGCCCAAGTCCAAGTCTCCCATCACGCCCTCGAAAAAGGTCACGTTCGCCCCGCGTCCGATCTTCGAACCCAGCCCTGGCACAATGGCACCGCGCAAGCTCGACGGAGTTCACTCGCTGAACGCGCTGCTCGAGGCAGGCAGCAAGGAACCCGCCCAGGCCAAGGGCAAGTTCACCAAGTCCACCAAGCCCAAGGCCGACAAGAAGTTCGACCCTCGTGCAGACGACTCCGACTCCGAATCGTCCAGCGCCGACAGCGATAGCGATGACGAGCCATCCCCAGGCTTTCTGGCAAGCATCAATGGCCATGTCTCTCCCAAGAAGTCTGCCGACACTCCCCTGAAGAAGGCCAAGCGTGGCAAGGACGATGAGGTTGCCGATAGCGACGTCGAGCGCACCGCCTCGTCCGCGAAGGCCAATGCTACCAAGAAAAAGCCTACGAGACCGGAGAGTTCCTCTGAAGACGAGTCTTCTTCTGCCGAAGCCGAGGAGCAGTCCGACTCGGACTCGGACTCCAGCGACAGCGATAGCGAGTCCAACAAGCAGCCGGCCCAGAAGGCGACCGAGAAGGCGAAGGCGGTTGAGAAGGCGAAGGCGGTAGAGAAGGCCGCCAGCAGCAGCTCCTCCGAGTCGGAGAGCGAGTCTGAGAGCGAAGCCGAGGAGACGAGCAAGCCCGCGGCCAAGCCAGCAGCAAAGCCCGCAGCTAAGCCTGCCGTCAATGGCACCAAGTCGACCAAGGCCGCTTCCACCAGCTCCAGCGAAAGCTCGAGCGAAGAGGAGTCTAGCGACAAGGAGTCCAGCAGTGAAGAGGAATCCAGCTCCGATAAGGACGGCAGCTCTGACTCCGACTCCGACGATGAGGCAGAGGAGCCTGCTGCGGTTGTTACTCAACGCACTGGCAAGGAGCTCAGTGTCCCTGGCTTCGTCGGGAAGGACTTCATCCTCAGAAAGGCTCAGGGCGATGAGGACGGAAAGGACATGGTCGACTTCTTCGCCAAGGCCAAGGTCGATGGCAAGCAGCTCTGGTACTTTACCGCTCCTGCCTCCGTCCCAATCAACGTCATCGAGAAGCTTGAGATCCCTATGGATAAGGTCAAGAAGGGTCAGCCAATCTTCAAGCACAACTCGGAGGACTACACTGTCAATCAGGATGAGGGAAGCACGTCGA